ATTTTGTTTTAGTGATTTGATAAAAATGATTTATTTAATTTTGTATTTAGTCGAAACTAATTATTAACTTATTATTATTATTAAGTTAATTTGTTACAAATATACATGATATGGTAATTAGCTAATTACCGTAAATATGTAATACGTAATTAACGTAATTAATTACCACTTTCACTCTTTAAAAACGTATTTACGTAATTAATTACGGGCGACAAATTAATTACTATTGTGAAAATTTTCTATGCAAACCGTTGTTGACACTCATATGCGCTGATTTTGTTTGAACCCCAAAATCCAGTACAGTATGATCATAACGTTATGAATAGTTTATACTAGCAAAAACCCATTGGTTTTGAGGTGGGGCCATTGGTTTGACAGGTTGTTGAATAGTAAAATAGTTTTTTTTAGCGGAGCAAATATTTTTTTTAGGGTTAATTATCATTCTACTGACCAGTTTACACATTAAAAATACTCGTGTTTAACATCAAGACATAATAAGACATAAGGTTTGAAAAAAGGTCCAAAAAACCAAATCGGCTGATATGTATACATGGGATGGTAATTGCATAATTACCCTAAGTACGTAATTATCGTAGTTAATTACCATTTTCCTCTTTAAAACATAATTACGAAATTAATTACCGTATTGCGAGCGATGAAATTAATTACGGGTGACGAAATAAATTATGAATAACAACAAATTAATTATTGGAAATATCATAATACAAGTCACTCCCGTTATAACAACACTCTCCGTACAAACAAAAAATGTCAGTATGACGAGAATGTCATTATAACGGGAGTTCATATAGAAGTCATATGAGAATCATTATCACGTGATTTTGTAATTTTATTTTTATTATATTTTATTTTTATTTCATTCATGTTTTATCAGGAAATTTAAAACTTACACCGGGTCAAAATTGACCAGCATTATACAGAAGTGTTATCAGAGTTTTCCATGGTGCCCAATGTTGGAAATTGAATGCGCGGGTTTGTGTTACATATTGAATTTAGCCAATCAAATTTGTAGAATTTTAACGTTGATTGGCTAAATT